AACGCATCGTAATTTTGGTCTGTGAGCCTGAATTGAAGAATCCGCTTGGGATCCTTAGCTTATGTAGGAGCAAGGGTGATATTAAGACCGGTCTTACGCAATTACTGTGTGGGCTATGGATTAGGTTAATTTTCTAAAGTTAACGGTACACAGTCTAGTATGTCCCGTAGTAATACACCAATGAAAATCGATAGGAATGTTTTATCTTAAGTTACGTTGCTTTACTTGGGAATAATTTCTGTATTATCGTGTCATCAATACTATTTTATAGCTGTAAAGCAAATTTAAGAACAGTTATGTACGAATAATTTACTTGTAATAACAAATTATTTTCAGTTATGTGAGCGTTGTTAAAATCAGGGGATATACTATTTGCGTTAAGTTCTCCAATGTGCGCAATCGAACATGGACGGCGTACGCCTCAAAAGGGAGAACCAGACCTTGAAATTTTGAAATGAGTTTGAAGAACTCCTTAACTTCTCGACGTTTTACGTTGGCCAGCAATTTTAGCGCTGTATGAGTTATGTTGGGAGTTCGTTTGCAATTTAATAACAACGTTGTGTTCGCATTTCAGACATCTCAATTTAGCAACTAGCACTTAGACACGCTGATTTCTTTTGATTAATTGTTTGGACGCGTGTGTCAGAGCCATCATCCATCCTTCACTCACAGTACCGGAGGCAAATCACAACCACAGCCGAGTTGTCCATTCAATGTCAAAACCACGTTTGGTAGCGAGTGTTTGACGTGTCATGTGGACAATGTAATTCAATGGAAAACTGATTACCACAGCAGCAACAGTAAATGTGACGTATAGACGAGTCGTAATGAGCCTAAAGCCAACGAGGTCCAGTAAACTTCAGTTCCTGATGTTAACTCTGGTAAATGGGACCAGTCTATTCAAGTTCCTCACAAGGGACGAAGTTCTACAATATGAACATTTCGGATAGCTAATACATATTCTGGTACTTTCAGCAGACGGCCAATTAATGTAGTGGGCCTAGTATAGGACACGTTTCCCCTGCACTTCGACTTCCGAAATTGTATTTTCTCTTATGTGTAGTCATTTCACTTAAATCTTGATTCACGTTGATTTATGAGTTTCGATGCAGACTTAGCGGTCGTATTGTGCAGTAATCAACTACGTCGATCAACCAAGACGCAAAATATACGCCGGAGAGACGCCCACAGCTTTATAAGGTAAAGAAAACGAAATTTAGGTAGAAAGGCCGAACCCGGACTTCTAGAAGCGTTTCTGGTAAACGCCTTCCAAAGTTACAGGGCAACACAGTCCTCCGAAGTGGACGGAAAAGGTAGAGGGGTGGGGGGAAATGACAACTGCGCATGTCCATCGGGTCATATTCAAAAAGTCGCTTCATTACCCGTAACCTTTTTGTCACACCTGCCCATGGCTCAGTTTGAATGCACCGAATTTGTTGTCCCAGTAATTAATAAATTATGGAAGTTCATATTAATTTTTGTTCTTTAAGAGATGTTATTACAATGATCCGATTAAGATGACCACTGACGGGCAAGAAAGAATTTGCGTATTTAGTTTCAGCTGAAAACCCGAGGAGGATAAGTGGAGGATGCTGCGGGCGCAGGATTAGGTTGGGACGGTGTGGACTGGATTCATGTGGTTCAGGACGAACTCTTGCGAATATGTCGACGAATCGCCAGGCTGCACCAAAGACAAGTGACTGTAGTCTTCTCAAGAAGGCCTCTGGTCCATGAGGTTAAAGTAGGAATGTACTGTAGTGTTGATGTAAGCGGCTGTGACGTGTTCTAAGGTCCGAGTAACGAAGCTCAGACCCTAGCTTAACGTTTACGACTGAGGAAAACCACCGTATATAACGGATTCAATTTATAGTTCGATCTTCTGATGAAAATCTTGATACCTTGCAGGAAATAATATTTATTTAAAGTACAATATTTGTAGTTGCATATACAAATTAATAGTCATTTTATTTTAGTCATAGAACTGGCTGGGTTCTAAGTCTGTGAACGTCCGTTGCGATGATTACTTGATGATTTAAGCCTGAAAACGGTAACAAGCTGTACCACCGAAATTCTTAAGTGGAATCCGTGACGTTCGGCAAGGCTTCCTGAAGCCGATGTCTCTGGCAGGTCTACTCCAAGGGCAAATCGTGAAAGCATCTTGAGGTCTAATGAAGGAAGAAGAATATTGCGTGAAAGGAACCGTGCAATTTCTTTGTGTTTTTTCTCGTTTCGATTCTGCGACGTGTTGTTCCTTATTATGAGATTTATTTCTTACGAAATCTTACACAGTTGAAATTATGAACACTAATGCGTGGCGGTGGAGTTCAATGCACTACATGTGATTATTTTAGCCTCTAACTCCATAGAGCAGAGTCTCTCTAGAGGACCTATTGGTAAGCTAATATTGTAAAGAAATCCCCTCTACCTTACGCTCAGATATTCTTGCTAAAATCCAATACAGAGTACATGGTTTTAATGTTCATATGCTTTTATCCAGGAATCATTTTAAGTTTAAATAAAAATTGAAAATACCGATTTCCTTATCAGACCTTCGAGGTGAAAGGTCAGTCAGCGTTTCTGTATCTAGGAAGGCACTCGGTCGTCTGTGTTTGATCAGATACTCGTTAAGGAGTGGAGCGAGTAGTGACCAAAATCCTTGCCATTAATCAGTAGCCCAGACGTAGCTTTTCCTGCACGCCAAGCCTTTGTAGATAACCCAACACAGCAGATAGCACGCAATCACTGGAAGCGATCACCAATTAAGGACTCGTATTTTATTTAGACCTCGTGCTTCTGTGGTTGTTGACGTGTGAGATTCCAGTTGCTGGAATTTATGTGGCTGATGCCTACTCCTGTTACTAGAATTCATGGCATTAAGCATCTCATCTGACGTCGTTGTTTGAAACGAGGAAGCTGTTTAGGAGGGATGCTGTGAGACATATGAGAGTCCTTGTCTGTAGAAAACGCTGTAATTCTTCGTTGATAATGAGGAAGTATCTTTCCTCCTCCTCCCCCCCTAACGTCGACTTCCTTCAACCAGATCAACACTTCGTTTCTTCGTGTAAGCTCCCTCGTTCAGTCAAGATGTCAGCTGCCACCACCTCCTGTCACTGCCACATTTCTAACTAGAATTTTCTCACGAGTATAATAATTGTCTCATTACATTCCTTCTTTCTCCTCAAAAACCTCGTTCATTCTGAAAAGTATCCGTATATTCCTGCTCGGAAAATCCCACGTGTCCTTCCAGTCTCACGGCACTGATTACGTTCTTTTGTACTCGGTGGTGGCTCTCGACTGAGATTGCGTGGTTGGCATGAATGTGGTGATTTAATATCAGCTATTCAGGTACAAAATTAACATAAACATATTTTAATACTGGATGTCGCAGGCTTCGTATATATTTGCGAGAATCAGAAGTGCTTTGGAAAATTATGCCTGGCCTGGAATGGTGATATCACATTGCATTTTAAGGTAAAATTATGTCAGTGCAAGCAGAAGAACGTTACGCCATTCAGAGAGTAGCTGTGGCCGACGTCTGTGGTGTCCTAAAACTCAGAGGCATAAACTTGGGACGTTAAAACGCTCCTATACCATTAAATTATTTCACGACAAGCAAGTAGTTAAATAAACACAACTCGATCGTAAATTATTTTTGTTCTGAAGTTACGCTTGTAACGCAAATTTAGATTCTTTTCGCATTTTTATTAATGTCCATGTATTCTGTGAATGTTTATGTACAGACATCAAGATTTACACTAACCGGTATTTAAATATAGCACAGTTACGTTTGAACGACTTATGGAAACGGAGACTTTTTGCGAATAATTAGATTTACGGACATTTAGCAGCGAAGCGAGACTTCCCGTAGAATGACCTACCTCAGTAACTAACTGACTAGTTTAATACAGAGTCTCGATTTTTTTTATTTTACATTTCAGTGTAACTTCGCGTACTGATTCAGCTCCTTGGCTGTGGCCCCTCGTCCCTTTATTACTTATAAGCTTGCCCTCGCCACAGGAACGGCTCAGAATGCGGTAGGAGCCGTGCTTTATAGTATCACTGTAAATGTTATGGGGCATAAAGCATCCGTATAAGTAAGTAGGAGGTGGGGCTGAATTATATTAGCATAATAATGAGATGGAAAGAATTTCTTAATTCTGTTCGTTGGACATCGCCCGCTCGTCAGTGACGTTGTTTGGGCGGAAACTCTGTTTTAAGATGGGCGCTGGCTAGTTTTACGGTCGACAATAGGTTCGCGGGGTCACACTTAGTTCGGGGAGGGGGGGGGCGGCCTTCCGTTTTCTTTGTTCATTTAAGCCCACCTTTAAACATGCCAAGATATATAATAGATACTATCAATTACTAGTGGAGATGTTATTCAGCCAAGGACATATTTTTCCACCTGCAAATTTGACGTTCCTAGATTCAATATGGCAGCTCTCCCAAGGACGGTCTGCAATCTAGATTTCTAACGCTTTGTGACAATAAACCTCAAGCCTTAACTCTGCCAGCATTGCGACTAATCCCTTTCGAAAGTAAACACGTTTTTACCTCGCACTGGCCTTGCTCTGCTACGTAAAAGTGACTTGCTATGGGCCAAATGTCCGCGATGTGATTCATTTATGTGATTTTTGAAATCCACCCAGTGGGCATCGATATCATGACTGAGAACATGCCGGTTGTGCGGACACCTAAATATTAACTAAATACATATAAAATGAGCCAACAGCAGTTACATCGACAGGCGACGTTGCTGAGTTTGATTGATGAAGTGGCGTCTTCGAAACTGGCTTACATCGTGAACATCGTAGTGAAAACGGGCGAAAGAAGGCCTCCGAGTTTCCAAACAACCTTCACTTAGCGTGACTGGCCAAGTTTGAAACCCACAGAGTGCATCATGCAACATTATAGATTTCGTATACTAAAACTTCTCTGTATTTAGGTAGGGATAAATATGATTAAACATCTAGAAATATGGTCCATTTCTTCATCTGTTACAGGTCGCTCTCCCAGCATCCGAAGACACGCTGTACTGGTGCAAGATCTTCAAGTTGCCTAACCTTAAGCGCAAACATCACATGGTTCGGGTAAGTTTCTACCATTAGTAGCCTCATTGCACTCTGCGGTCTTTATACAAACTGCAAAATCAATTAAACTTCACCGGTTTTGCCAACCTTACGTACCTATACTCCCCCCTGTCGCGCTCACTAACAAGAAACTTAAATGCGAACCTTCTCAGGCACGAACACACGTGGACCTGACACGTGTGGTCCCTCTGTGGGGCAGACTCCTGCTTGAGTAGCTTATGGTCAGCCAATCAAGTAATCCCGCGCTTTGTGGTCCGAAGTTCAATCCCTGTTCGGAAGAGTTCGCCACTGGACGCAATGTCCACCTCACGTTCCTCCGTTTAATTAGACGTAATTGCATTTGGCGACGAGCACTGATCATGAAGGTAAATGTAATTCATAAACCTGATAGCAGCTTCTTCCTTTTTTACGAGGAAGGCAATTCTGCGTCGACGGAGACTGTGCTGCGTTTCCCGAGTAAAAGTGCTCCGTGCTTTCGAAATACTTTTCCAGAAATAAATTGCAGTGCCTGAGTTATCAAGATCTTATTTAGAGAGTTTCCAATCCTTTGCCCTGAAGGGGGACGGGAAATGGGCAAGTGCCCCCTCCGCTTCCAAAATTGCAGTGATATCCTTGACGCGGAAAACGCAGAGCAGATGGATTAAAACTGGAGATGGATGAAACCGGGGCTGGAAACTCCACACGTTAATGGCACAGAGAATTGCCTTACGTTTGTCAGTCGAAAGTCCTTCGTCTCTGAGGGGAAACCGTCTAAGGACGGGTTGCTAAGGAGAGCATCAGGCCCTGACTAGCGAGGGGGGAGGGGTACGAGGAGAAATGCTTGGTGGGGTGCTTCATAATTTTCAATTTTCAATAAATGCGGCTAGGATTCCCAAACCAAAAAGTCTATGTAGCACCAAAAGCAAGATAATGAATCGATTCGAAATTTTAGTCTGCGAAACGGAACGAAAGAGACCAGTTTGAGGTGTGATATTAATTTGTCCAAAGGTAATGGAGTGGATGGGACCGCGACTTCAGATTTAAATGAGTATGGCCAATGAGAAGCCCACAGTTCGGCAGAAATACGCATGATAAATAGTGACCTCGAATAACTATCAGCTTCCAAAAGGAACTTTCGTGCCGGGAGATGCTGGAATTTGAATTTCTCTCATTTCAGTACGAGCCTCTGCACCAGCCGGGCAACCGCGCGTACATGCACCACGTCATAGTGTATGAATGTCAGGGCAATGAGGATGAGTTCGAGCGTCATGCCAGAGACAAGGGACAAGTGTGTTACGAGCCCTCGATGCCACAACTCTTCTTCAACTGCAACAACGTTGTCATCGCCTGGGGGTTCGGCTCGGAGGTGAGTCCTGCAAAACCTTGCTTGCTTAATTCCGTGATCCCGTTTGCTTCACGTGTTTCCACGTCTCGTATTCGATTCGCTGTCGCTCGTCCTTGTCCACGGCTGAGGCCGCTGGAGTAATTCCAGAGTAAACAAGTGTTGGACGTGCCTTTGTCGTCGAGGGGTCGCGGGCTGTTGGGCCCTCAGTAGAGCGGATCAGAGTTCTGGCGGAACGAAATACATCGTCCGCCCACACGGGGCTGTGGGTGCGTCATGAATGTGCCGTAACTCTCGCGTCTGCTTCAGACCGCGTCAGCGAGCTCCCTGTCCCATTAGTTCTTTCGAATCTGGGTGGAATATTCCCACTGTAAATTAAACATGGTGTATTCTACTTTAGAGACCAGTTAGTGATGCAGCCTGACTCGAAGGCTAAAATCAGGGGTTCCCAACCTTTCGCAGACATGGGGGCCACTTAGCCTTCGACCTTCACTCTTGTCTCATATAGAACCCTAACACCCGTGACTCTGCCCTCAGGTATTTGAATCCAGTAAACACACTCCGTTCACATTTTTTACAGGAACCATTAAATATCCTTTATGTACGCCTAGACTTATCTCTCTCAAGTGATTTCTCACACGTCTCGCGCGTGTTACGTGCCTAGTGCATTTAATTTGTCTTAATTTGATCGAAGTAATAATGTTGTTACATTTTCTCAAAACCCACGAAGAGGACTTTCACTCGAGGATGCATTTCCGAAATGAGCCATAAACATTTAAAAATTCGTGTTACCGCTGTCTGAAGAACGTAACCTTTAATGTGAGCAGCCGAGGCTAATGACAGCCATCATCAGCATTAGAGCAGCGCTGCTACTGGAATGGGATGACGCCAATGACCCAGTTGAGTCTTCCCGCCGTCTTTCTGTCTATGAGGAAGAGGAATGCACGTTCAATATTTTGAACCAATCTGTGAATTTGAACGTATTTTTAATTTGTCCGCCGCGGACGTAGAAGTCTGTTCTACTCGCAGGATTTGAGGTTTTCACTGCGGTGAGTCTGAAGATGACTGTCTTCTGGGTTTTATCGCCGTGTGGTCTGGTAGAAGTTTACCGAAGTTTTAGAGATCCTTGCTGCCTCCATCACAGCCATGATGATGGATGCAGCAAGGAACTCCGAAACGTCGGTAAACTTCTACCACACTACACGTCTGTATAAGGCAGAGATCAGCTATCTTCACTTTTTGCTGTATTACGAGAATGAAAACAATGTCAACGTCTGTCTGCTTTCTCAGGTCTACGTCATCCTAGCTCTGACCGTCTGTTCCTACGCCTTGGCCTGCCAGGGAGGACATCACGATGGCTTTCCTGAGGTCGCCAGGGATGCCGGCCTGGCAAACTCTTATGGATCTTACGGTGGTTATGGTGTCGATGGCTACGGAGCTCCGGTTTACGGTCTTGGTTATGGGTACCATTAATACGTTCCCCTTTTCCATAACCCCTCCCAGTCAGCCATTTCAGAAGTACAACCCAAACTTCCAGCGGAACTACGAAAAACACTAATTTTATTGGCAACAGATTTAATTCCGCGTCTCATGGAACACTTGTGAATTAATTTGACACACACGACACCTGTTTAGAAATTTGAATAGTTTCGTAACTTACGACGATGTAACCAGACTTGTACGGATGTCAATGGCTTCCTTATATCCACACAAAGCACCTGTCTCTCCCAAGTTCTTCGCTCAACTTAATTTTCATAACTCGTTGGCGTTGTTCTGCCAGAACAAGACGAGTTTCTCGTTCCTTACGGAACAAGTTTTCACCTGGATGAAATCTTTAAACGAAAATTATGTGCATTAAATTTTAATTATTTTTATATGTGAAACCTTTTTCTTATAAGTTACTATTCTGTCAATAAAATTATTCTTAAACGTAAACACGTCTGATTATTATTATCATCCCGCAACTTCATTCTGCAACTGCATTGAAGACAGTTCATCAAGGTCACCTGCCTAAAGACTAGATAAACTTCTAGTTTCACACTTTTTCTCAGTTTCTCCTGAAGGACTCTGGATCGATGTCCCACGAGTAACCTACTCTCTCACCTTAGTCCTTGATCCTTTAAAGCAAAAGCTCACGTGAATAACACTTAAAGATCCAGTCCTTACCTCAAAGAAAACACCGCACTTCACCATTACAAAGATCAACTGGTTAGCTCTAAGGAAATTATCGCTGTTTACAGTGACAATCATACGAAACCAACGCGGGAAATTGCAGAGTTACTATAAAGCAGGCGGTACATATAGTTACCAGTGGGCTTTAAATGATTAATCATCATCGATTTTCCAGGGAACACCCATACAAAGGCATATGGTATCCATGCGCAGGCAGTTTGACGTTCCTAGATTCAATATGGCAGCTCTCCCAAGGACGGTCTGCAATCTAAATTTCTAACGCTTTGTGACAATAAACCTCAAGCCTTAACTCTGCCAGCATCGCGACTAATCCCTTTCGAAAGTAAACATGTTTTTTCAGTACCTCGCTTGCTATGAGCCAAATGTCCGCGATGTGATTCATTCATGTGGCTTTGATTTTTGAAATCCACCGAGTGGGCATCGATATCATGACTGAGAACATGCCGGTTGTGCGGACACCTAAATATTAACTAAGTACATACAAAATGAGCCAACAGCAGTTACATCGACAGGCGACGTTGCTGAGTTTGATTGATGAAGTGGCGTCTTCGAAACTGGCTTACATCGTGAACATCGTAGTGAAAACGGGCGAAAGAAGGCCTCCGAGTTTCCAAACAACCTTCACTTAGCGTGACTGGCCAAGTTTGAAACCCACAGAGTGCATCATGCAACATTATAGATTTCGTATACTAAAACTTCTCTGTATTTAGGTAGGGATAAATATGATTAAACATCTAGAAATATGGTCCATTTCTTCATCTGTTACAGGTCGCTCTCCCAGCATCCGAAGACACGCTGTACTGGTGCAAGATCTTCAAGTTGCCTAACCTTAAGCGCAAACATCACATGGTTCGGGTAAGTTTCTACCATTAGTAGCCTCATTGCACTCTGCGGTCTTTATACAAACTGCAAAATCAATTAAACTTCACCGGTTTTGCCAACCTTACGTACCTATACTCCCCCCTGTCGCGCTCACTAACAAGAAACTTAAATGCGAACCTTCTCAGGCACGAACACACGTGGACCTGACACGTGTGGTCCCTCTGTGGGGCAGACTCCTGCTTGAGTAGCTTATGGTCAGCCAATCAAGTAATCCCGCGCTTTGTGGTCCGAAGTTCAATCCCTGTTCGGAAGAGTTCGCCACTGGACGCAATGTCCACCTCACGTTCCTCCGTTTAATTAGACGTAATTGCATTTGGCGACGAGCACTGATCATGAAGGTAAATGTAATTCATAAACCTGATAGCAGCTTCTTCCTTTTTTACGAGGAAGGCAATTCTGCGTCGACGGAGACTGTGCTGCGTTTCCCGAGTAAAAGTGCTCCGTGCTTTCGAAATACTTTTCCAGAAATAAATTGCAGTGCCTGAGTTATCAAGATCTTATTTAGAGAGTTTCCAATCCTTTGCCCTGAAGGGGGACGGGAAATGGGCAAGTGCCCCCTCCGCTTCCAAAATTGCAGTGATATCCTTGACGCGGAAAACGCAGAGCAGATGGATTAAAACTGGAGATGGATGAAACCGGGGCTGGAAACTCCACACGTTAATGGCACAGAGAATTGCCTTACGTTTGTCAGTCGAAAGTCCTTCGTCTCTGAGGGGAAACCGTCTAAGGACGGGTTGCTAAGGAGAGCATCAGGCCCTGACTAGCGAGGGGGGAGGGGTACGAGGAGAAATGCTTGGTGGGGTGCTTCATAATTTTCAATTTTCAATAAATGCGGCTAGGATTCCCAAACCAAAAAGTCTATGTAGCACCAAAAGCAAGATAATGAATCGATTCGAAATTTTAGTCTGCGAAACGGAACGAAAGAGACCAGTTTGAGGTGTGATATTAATTTGTCCAAAGGTAATGGAGTGGATGGGACCGCGACTTCAGATTTAAATGAGTATGGCCAATGAGAAGCCCACAGTTCGGCAGAAATACGCATGATAAATAGTGACCTCGAATAACTATCAGCTTCCAAAAGGAACTTTCGTGCCGGGAGATGCTGGAATTTGAATTTCTCTCATTTCAGTACGAGCCTCTGCACCAGCCGGGCAACCGCGCGTACATGCACCACGTCATAGTGTATGAATGTCAGGGCAATGAGGATGAGTTCGAGCGTCATGCCAGAGACAAGGGACAAGTGTGTTACGAGCCCTCGATGCCACAACTCTTCTTCAACTGCAACAACGTTGTCATCGCCTGGGGGTTCGGCTCGGAGGTGAGTCCTGCAAAACCTTGCTTGCTTAATTCCGTGATCCCGTTTGCTTCACGTGTTTCCACGTCTCGTATTCGATTCGCTGTCGCTCGTCCTTGTCCACGGCTGAGGCCGCTGGAGTAATTCCAGAGTAAACAAGTGTTGGACGTGCCTTTGTCGTCGAGGGGTCGCGGGCTGTTGGGCCCTCAGTAGAGCGGATCAGAGTTCTGGCGGAACGAAATACATCGTCCGCCCACACGGGGCTGTGGGTGCGTCATGAATGTGCCGTAACTCTCGCGTCTGCTTCAGACCGCGTCAGCGAACTCCCTGTCCCATTAGTTCTTTCGAATCTGGGTGGAATATTCCCACTGTAAATTAAACATGGTGTATTCTACTTTAGAGACCAGTTAGTGATGCAGCCTGACTCGAAGGCTAAAATCAGGGGTTCCCAACCTTTCGCAGACATGGGGGCCACTTAGCCTTCGACCTTCACTCTTGTCTCATATAGAACCCTAACACCCGTGACTCTGCCCTCAGGTATTTGAATCCAGTAAACACACTCCGTTCACATTTTTTACAGGAACCATTAAATATCCTTTATGTACGCCTAGACTTATCTCTCTCAAGTGATTTCTCACACGTCTCGCGCGTGTTACGTGCCTAGTGCATTTAATTTGTCTTAATTTGATCGAAGTAATAATGTTGTTACATTTTCTCAAAACCCACGAAGAGGACTTTCACTCGAGGATGCATTTCCGAAATGAGCCATAAACATTTAAAAATTCGTGTTACCGCTGTCTGAAGAACGTAACCTTTAATGTGAGCAGCCGAGGCTAATGACAGCCATCATCAGCATTAGAGCAGCGCTGCTACTGGAATGGGATGACGCCAATGACCCAGTTGAGTCTTCCCGCCGTCTTTCTGTCTATGAGGAAGAGGAATGCACGTTCAATATTTTGAACCAATCTGTGAATTTGAACGTATTTTTAATTTGTCCGCCGCGGACGTAGAAGTCTGTTCTACTCGCAGGATTTGAGGTTTTCACTGCGGTGAGTCTGAAGATGACTGTCTTCTGGGTTTTATCGCCGTGTGGTCTGGTAGAAGTTTACCGAAGTTTTAGAGATCCTTGCTGCCTCCATCACAGCCATGATGATGGATGCAGCAAGGAACTCCGAAACGTCGGTAAACTTCTACCAGACCACACGGCGAAAAAACCCAGAAGACATCAATGAAGCACCAGGCAAAGTTCGTGAACAGAGCCTGAAAGCTGCAATTCTGTACACTCTGGAGTTATCACCGCGAAGGCCTACATAAACAGTAAATTGCAAGACGTGAGTGAGGTTGAGGCCTCTTACTTTTTAGCAGGATTTCAGTTTTTGAAGTTTTATGTTTTTTTTAAGGGTTTTAGTTTTCCGCCCGAAGCGGGATACCCTCTGGACCCAGACCTCGGTCCCAGATACTTCATGATGGAGACGCATTATAATAACCCGACGCAAGACATCGATGTCACCGACAGCTCCGGGATACGTGTTTACTACGCAGCGTCCCTAAGGCGTCACGACGCCGGAGTGCTGTCCCTAGGGCTGGATCCGAACTGGCGACACATAATTCCTCCGGGACAGCCAGAGGTCGTGTCTGAGGGACACTGCATCTCGGCCTGCACACAGCAGGCCCTGCCTCCGCGGGGGATAGACATATTTGGAGTGGTCCTGCACACACACCTCATAGGTGAGCCCAAAAGTTACGGTAACCCGTCGCCAGCAGCCGAGTTCGGCCCTGTACCTTAAGCACGGCTACTTTTAAATATATTGTGGCGACGTAATTGTTAATTCTGGACACGCGGGACTCAGTCCTTCCCGGGATGATCATAAAATGGGCCACAGCAACTTCTGTCCTGATATTCCACGGTTTTCGTTTCAAGAATATCGTCGAATAACCCAAGGCACACGGAAGTACGTGTCACTGTAATTTGGAATTTGATTGTTTCAGGTCGGAAAGTCCGCCTCCGACAAATCAGAGAAGGCGTGGAGCTTCCCCCCATCACAGCTGACAACAATTACGACTTCAGTTACCAGGAATACCGCCGTCTGCAAAACCCAGTCACAGTTTACCCGGTGTGTGGGGATGTTTGTAATATTCTGTCTCGGAGGCTCCTTTCGTACTGCGACTAGAATTGCTTTAAAAAGTAGTACAGAATTATGGCTTCCTTTGCAGGGTGACCACCTGATCGCTGAGTGTGTGTACAACAGCGAAGGTCGCTCCACGATCACGCTCGGTGGTCTTACAACTCGTGAGGAAATGTGCCTCGTGTTTGGGCTGTACTACCCTCGGATTGACCTCTCCCTGTGTCACAGCTTGCCCTCGCTGCCCACGGTCCTGCATTCTTTGGGCATTCAAGAACTCTGGCCGTAAGTAACAAACGTTATTCTCTTACGAGGAGTTTAGAATTTAAGTCACGTTAAAACTCTTTAGAAGATGCGTGCGTAGTGTAACACTATTAGAAAGATGCCCCCTGTGGAAGTCAGTCAATTTTTCGAAAGATGTTTGCACTCTTTATGACGGACCATCGCTCAAGGGAAATCGAGACTCGGACCACTCTTTCGAAAGAATAACAAATGCAACACGAAACTGTTGCCAGGTTGTTTGCAACTACATTAGCCGTGGTCAACCAGAAAGTTTCGGACGAATCAATTATTCTGTATCTCGTAACTTGGAAGCGTCTCGGGGAAGAACAGAAGAACACGGCGGTCCTTTTCCAGATGTTGATTAAAAACCTCGAAGCCCGTAGCCAGAGGCCTCATGATAACCGACGAGAAGCGATGGACTGCGTACGGTACGTGTCTACGAGAACTGTGCCACAGCACGTGGGCGACTGGAGAGACGTTCTTCGGGGAATGGCAAAAGCTTTCTCACTAGATAGAAGGGACTACCAAGATGATAAGCTTTTTATTGTAGTCCTTTCACCTGCGTTGTGTCGAAGGAATTAACACCAATTACAAACATAAAGTCAAAATTTTTTAAAACATTCAAGTTCTTCAAAATTTTCGAAAGATCAGAAAACGTAGGAAATCGTCCAAT